CCTCCCTCCCCTCCCTCCCTCCCTCCCTCCCTCCCTCCCTCCCTCCCTCCCTCCTCCCTCCCTCCCTCCCTCCCTCCCTCCTCCTCCCCTCCCTCCCTCCCCTCTCCTCCCCTCCCTCCCTCCCTCCCCCAAATTGAAGTGGGCCCGCCTCTCTCAGCGACTTTCCTTTGTCGGGGCGTTGATCGACCCTCCATTCGCTCCCCCTCCCCTCCCCCTCCCCCTTCCCCTCCCCCTCCCCCTCCCCCCATTTCTTTCCTCCCTCCACCAGGACCCCACTTACTTTCTGCCTTCCCCTGCCTTCCTCCTCGTCTCTCCCTGTCTTCCCTCTCTTCTCTCCCTCCTTACCTCCTCTTGTCTCCCTCCTTTCCTCCCCTTCCTCGCTCTCTCGACCCCAGTCTCTTCCTCTGCTTCCCTGGTTGACGGTCGAGGAGGGGTCGAGGAGGGGTCGAGGAGGGGTCATCATCTCCCGCACCTCACGGCATGCGGCCTACCCTCCTCCTTCTCTTCCTCCTCTTTGCTCAGCCAGCGCTCAAGCTGATTTCCTGCGACCTGCCAGCGCAGGTTTGCTGAGCCAGGAGTCGCCTACGGCATGAGCTGAACTTGCGAGCAGACGACTGGGGGGCTAAGCGGCGCGGGCTCGTCTCCTCCTCGCGTGCTCTACTTATGGGGTCGAATCCTCCGCTTCGAAGACGAGGAGGCGACGAGGGAGCTGCTGCCCCTCCTCGCCTGCCGCCCCTCCTCCTCATCTCCTCCTTCCTCCACCAGCCCCCTGCTCCGCGACCTGCCGAGCGCGAGACGACACGTGGCCGCTCAGTCCGTCGCCGTCTTGCACGGAAGCTCCTTCCCTCACGAGGACGTGCGGCAAGTCGGAGAGCTGCTGGTTGTGTTGCCACGTCTCCTCGCCATCTGACGGGGGAGCAGAGACAGGGAGAGTGGGGAAGCGACGCAGAGAAGATGGTCGCGTCCTGGTCTGTTCCTCCTCCTCCTCCGCTGCTGCCTTTTGACGAGATCCTCTCAGCTTGAACTTGTTCGCCATCGCCATCGAGCGAGGGAGAGTCTCCGTGCAAAACGCGTTCGAGGTACAAGCAGGAGCAGGAGCAGGAGCACGGGCACAGGCACGGGCACGGGCACGAGCAGGGGGAGCAGGAGCAGGAGCAGGAGCAGGAGCAGGAGCAGGAGCAGGAGGAGCACAACCCATTCTGACCTTCACTTTCAGTGGCTGCATGACATTTCTAAAGCTCGCTCACTCTCGTTGCACACAGAAATAATTGGCGGTCTGTCGCCAACCTTTTCTCCTATCCTCACCCCTATCCTCCCCTCTCCTCTCCTCTCCTCTCCTCTCCTCTCCTCTCCTTTCCTCTCCTCTCCTTCGCTCCCCACCTCTTCTTCTCTCCCCTTGCAGCGTTATGAAGCCACTCACTCTCATCAGGACTCATCAAAGTCATGGGAGCTGCTGTGGCAGGAGGGTGGCAGACGTTCCGCGAGGTGAGAGAGGAGGAGGAGGAGGAGGAGGAGGAGGAGGAGGAGGAGGAGGGTCTGACGTCTGCAGCTTGAGGCGTTGTGCTCCATCCTCTCCCAAGCTCCTGCAGACGACGAGCAGCTGGAAATCAGTACGAGAGAATCTTCACTTCACTTCCGCTGGTGCTCGCAGGAGGAGGAGAAGGAGCAGCAGGAGCAGGAGAAGGTTGTCCTCCTACGGGCGGGTGATGCCCAGCAAGCACGGGACAGGTGGCAGAGGAAGGAACTCTTCGTTGCGAGGATGGAGGCAGTGAGAGGATGCGTGGAGAGAGGATGGAAGACCGTCAGGTGATTTGCGTCTCTTCTCCTCGCCTCCTCTCACCTCTCAGGTCTTGTTGGCGCGAGTTCGATGAGCTGAGGGCGCGAGGACTTGAGCCGAACCCCGACGTTTTCCTCGCCCTCCTTGCGACTTCTTCCTCTGCCTCCCTCGCGCTCTCTCCCGCTGCTGTCAGGCGTCTTCCCCCTCTCAGCCCAGGAGCGTCAGGCCCCCTCGACCTCTGGAGGAGCATGGTCGTCGACTGCGGACAAGCAGCGAGTGTCTGCATCTCCTCCCTGCTGGACGCGAGCGCTGCCAGCCTTGTCTTCGGGGCCATGGAGCTCGTCGAGCTGGAGAAGCTTGTGAAGCGAATGAGCGAGGAGGCGGCGGCGCTGGAAGAGAGAGGGAGGGGCAAGGGGGAGGGAAACGCAACCTCCTCCTTCTCGCGAAGGAGATTCATCGCTGAGTTCAACCAGCTCTCTGCTCCTCCCCGCGTCCGCATGATTCGACATGCTATCATGGTCGGTAAGCTTGCTCCCAGCATGCGAGACGTCTGGCCGATCTTCGACCTCTCGTTCCCTCCCTCCGCTCCTCCCCTTCACGACCTCGTCGCTCAAACCCTCTGCGAAGCCATGCGAACGCTGCGAGAATGCGTCAGGTGCTTGAAATGAGAGAGTGAGACAGGGACCAGGCAGGGAGACAGGAAAGGGAGGGAGCGAGCGAGCGAGGGAGCGAGGGAGCGAGGGAGGGAGCGAGGGAGCGAGGGAGCGAGGGAGGGAGCGGAGGGAGGCGGAGGGAGGCGGAGGGAGGGAGGCGGAGGGAGGGAGCGAGGGAGCGAGGGAGCGAGGGAGCGAGGGAGCGAGGGAGGGAGGAGGGGGCATGGAACGGAACGTGTGACGAGACGCAGGAGGGGAGGAGGCTCTTCTGGTGACCTCGACAGACTTCTGAGTCTCTGGCACGAGCACGGGCTGACGGCGAGCGTTGAACTCTACAAGGAGGCGATGCAGGTGATGGAGGGATGGAGCGCGCGAGGAGGAGCGAGCAGGTGACGAGATGCTTGACGAGAGCTGGAGGTGACCAGGCAGCAGGGGAGAAGCAGACGCGCTGCTGGCGATCATGAAGGTGGCGGGAGTGAGAGCAGAGCAAGAGACGATGAGAAGCTACTTGAAGATAGTCGAGAATGAGCTGATGGCTTGGAGGACGAAGCAAGGAAACGAGGTGAGCGAGCGAGCAGAGGAAGGGGATAGCGAGTTGACTGCCAGAAGGGAGAAAAAGCTGAAGCAGAGATGAGAAGCGCTCTGGCGCATCTTGATTGTCTTCTTCATACCGTCATAGCTGATGATCGGTTGTTGCGTCTGCTGATCGCATTCCTCAAGGTGTCACAAACCCACTCCTCCTCTCACCCGCTTCTTCCTTTCCCCCTCCTCTCCTCTCTGTTACCTTCCTCTCTCCTCTCTCTTCTCTTCGATGCCTTCTGAATTTTTCCTCACTGTACTCTCCTCCTGCTACAGAGGAACTGGGAAGCCCTGCAGCAGCTCGACCCGACTCTCTCCCTCTCGCTCCTCCAACTTGCCCGTGACAGGTTGCTCCCTCCCATTCCTCTTCCTCTCCTCTCTCCCTCCTCCTCCTCTCCTCACCCTTGCTCAGCTCCAAGCTCATGGCTGATCCTCTTCTACGGACGCAAGCACGTTCCTTGCTCCTCCCTGCCTCTGCTTCCCCTCCCCAGCTGCGCTCATCGCCTGTCGCAAGTGCAAAGGAGGCCTGGAAGAGCGCGGGGAAGACAAGAGGGCAGCCAGAGGAAGTGCGTGAGGGGAGAACAAGAGGTGACGACGGGCCTTCGCTGCAACGCATGTCGTGGATGCTGCCGGAAGAGGAGAGGGGACGGGAGGGGGATCAAGAGCAAGAGGGAGCAGACAATGAATTCAAGGCGAAACTCGAGAAACTGTGAGGCTACTTGGACCCCTGCAGCCATAACTCCTCTCCTCCTCTCCTCGCCTCTCCTCTCCTCTCCTCTCCTCTCCTCGCCTCTCCTCTCCTCTCCTCTCCTCTCCTCTCCTCTCCTCTCCT